TATAACTCAGTTGCAAAAAATAAACAAACAACTGTAGTGAGCGGGCTCTTGGGTGCATAGCTTTCGCAAGACATTGCCTATAGAATATTTACAGGGTTAAGAAAGGCATTTTACAAGAACAGGATGGTTGGCCAACAGGAACTAAAAAACAGTACATGACATTTTTTTTTTTTTTTGCTTTTTGGGTCACACCTGGCAATGCACAAGGGTTACTCCTGGCCCTGCACTCAGGAATTACTCCTAGCAGTGCTCAGGGGACCATGGGATGCTGGAAATAGAACTTGGGTTGGCCACATGCAAGGCAAATGCCCTACCCACTGTGCTATTGCTCCAGCTCAAGTACATGACATTCTTGATGTCAGTCTGTGATTTAACGAGTAGCCTTCTGAAGAGCCCCTGATAGTCTGTTATCTCCTCCATCTGTCCCATGACTACCCTTATCTGTCTTTGTCCCAAATCTATGAAGGACAAAGCTTAAGCTCAATATATATAAATGCTGTTGAATTTACAATATAGCAGCTTCTGCTCGCTATATAATCCTGCTGTCTGTCTCTTTCCTTTATTCTCTTTCACTCCTGCACCCTCTCCCTGTTACCCACGTTGACTAGTCCCATGGGACAAACAACCACACCCCTTCCCAACCCTGTCTAAACTTATTATCTGAAAGATGCAAATCAAAACTAAAGGAGAGAAGACAGGGTTTCATACCTATTAAGATAATCATCAAAAGAAAACAAACAACAAACCCTCTCCTCAAAACCCAGAAAATCACAGCACTGGGAAGAATATTGGAGAAACTGGAACCCTTAAAACTGGAATTGCTGGGGCTGGAGCAATAGCACAGCGGGTAGGGCGTTTGCCTTGCACGCGGCCGACCCGGGTAGTAACCCCTGTGCATCGCTGGGTGTGATCCAAAAAAGCAAAAACACAAACAAACAAAAAAAACCTGGAATTGCTAATTAGAATGCAAAATCTTGCAGCATGTCTGGAAAACAGGATGGAGACACAAAAATAAGTATAGAGCTACCATACGATCGAACAATCTCTCTTCTAGGTATTTATCTGAAAGAAATGAAATCAGAATCTGAGAGAGAGAGAGAGAAAGAGAGAGAGAGAGAGATGCCTTTCCATGTTCAATGCAATATCATTTATAACAGCAGAGGTGTGGAAACAAATTGACTGTTCACTGATAAATGAATAAATAAGAAAAACATAGTGTTTAACATATAACAAAATGCTATTCAGCCACAAAAACAGAAGTCCCCAAACTTATTTGGCCTACTGTCCTCTTCTCAGAAAAAAACAAAAAAAAGGTGCTGGAATGACAGTTCAGCGGATAGGGCGTTTGCCTTGCATGTGGTCAACCAGGGTTCAATCCCCAGAATCCCTTATGAGCAATGCCAGGAGTGATTCCTGAGTGCAGAGCCAAGAGTAATCCCTGAGCATTCCTGGGTGTGACCCAAAAAGAAAATAAAAACTGCTTTCCCTCTGAAAATCTACCTTCTTTGAGCAAAGAAACTGCTTCTATCAGCTCTCGGAGGTTAAGTACTGCCCACTTTGAGGAACAGAAAAAAAGATGCAATCAACTGCTGGCCACAAAATGAATAAATCCTGAAGATACTATTCTACATGAAATAAATCAGGCACACACCAAAAAAAGAACAAAATCAAGCAAAGAAAAAGAGATATTGCAGTACTGCATCTTCAGGTCCTGCAGATGCTTCCTAAGCACCATTTAAAACTGTCTCTTCCCACCCCAAATTAAATTAAACTTAAAACTTATGCTTTAAAAAAAATGGTGTCAAGATACACAAAGACAAGTCACAAACTGGCAGAAAATATCTGCCAAAATAATATCTGGTTTTAAAAAAACTGCTGTTCAAAAGTTGTACAAAGAGGGCCAGGACATGACTCAGTGATATAACACCTGTCTTTTAAGTGTGAGGTCCTGAGTTTGATCTCTGGCACCACACATGCAAAACTGAAAAATAACAAGAGGCTAGAAAGGTGATACAGCACTTGCCTTGCATGCAGAAGACCAAAGTTGAATGCCTGGTTTCACATATATCCCCATGCACTGCATGCTGGGAGTGATCACTGAGCTCAGCGCCCAAAGTAAGCCCTAAGGTCAGGCATCTGTGGCCCATCTCCTAAAAAAAAAAAAAAAAAAAAAAACTAAACTAAACTAAAAGTGTATGAAAATTAATAAAACTCAACAAGAACCAAAAAAACCAATCTGATTAATAAACTGACCAAAGATTTTTAATGAACACATCATCAAAAAAGATAAATGGATGGCAAACATGCATATGTGGAGATACCCAAAGATCTTTAAAAATACAAATTAAAGGGACTGGAGCACTAGCACAGCGGGTAGAGCATTTGCCTTGCACACGGCCAACCCAGGTTCGATTACCAGCATCCCATATGGTCCCCTGAGCACCGCCAGGAGTGATTCCTGAGTGCAGAGCCAGGAGTGACCCCTGTACATCACTGGGTGTGGCCCAAAAAGCAAAAAAAAAAAAAAATTAAAATGAGGTAACACTGTATATCTTTCAGAATAACTATAACCTAGAACAACAAATGCTGGTGAGAATGGGGAACAATAGTTCGTTTACTGCTGATAAATTTCCAATACCAAATTCTAAAATTCCACAAATTTCAGTTTGAGGTCATAGGAAAAAGTCATTCAACAGAAGAGGTTTAGATAGAATATTCTTAATCTCACAATCTCAACCTTCATCATTATATTATTCTTAATTCACTCTTTTTTTTAAATAGGGTGGAAAATATACGTTTCCAAACCAGTTTAGTAACTTGCCAAATAAATTGTTATTAAGAAAATACATATCTCTGGTCCAAAATCACTGAGAGTCACTATTATGTCCCTGGCCTTCTTTAGTTTCTCCATTTTTTTTTTTTTGTAGGAGTACTGCTATTTATTCAGCCAATGATTAGCTGATTGAATTGGGAATGAACTCCACCTTAATTTTTTTACTTATTTTTTTCCTTTTTACATATTTATTTATTGAATCACTGTGGGAAAAGTTACTAAGCTTTCAGGTTTAAGTCTCAGTCATACAACAATCAAACACCTTTCCCTTCACCAGTACTCATTTTTCACCACCAAGAACCCCAGTATACCCCCCCCCCCACTCCTCCAAATGCCTGTGAAGCAGATGATTTCTACTTAACTCTTCTCTACATTGATTACATTCATCATTTCGACAAAAGATGCAACATTATTGTTTAGAATTTCCCCCCAAACAATCAGAATTGCTGAAAAGGCATTGTGAAATATTTTGTTTTCTATAGCTGGATATGAGAATCACATAATGTCATGCGGCCATGATTTTGGATTTCTGCAAAGAGCAAGATAATTACAAGATTGGTTTCTGTGTGTCTGGTGTTATGGCTGTGCCCGTACCGCCCCCCTTCCCATGAGACTGTGGTTGCCCCATCACCGCCAGCTCGTACATAGCTTTCCTATAAGCTCTGAGGTGGCGGTCACCTTGCTGCCAGGGGGGAAAAAGGCGGAAGGGAGCAACACCCTTTCCCTCCTGGGAAGGCATGGCACCGTAGTTTAATGCATGGTCCATTCACTTTTCTTCTAAAGCTGCTGGGCTCTGGACTAAGTCCTTTTGCCTCTGGAGCCATGGCCATGCCAGAGAGCCGCTTGTGGGGAGCAACTCATGACCTCGGTAGGGCGTGAAGGATGAGCCGGTACCATCCCCCTTCCCATGAGTTTCTCCATTTTTTTAATAGAAGAAATGGAAATTATTTAACCCCAAGATTCAGTCAAACTTGAGATGCCAAGCAACTGACATGGGACCTCATTCATGCAAAACATATACTCTACCACAGAACTACTTCCCTAAACATTTCCTTGTTAAAAAGGTGCATTTCCTAGTTCTTTCTATTCATAAAAGAGACAAGAAGCCATTAATATATTTTTCTTCTTATTTAAAAAAATTTTTTTGGTACTTCTAACTGTGCTCAGAGCTGACTCCTAGTTCTAAGCTCAGGTCCATATATGGTGTATTAGGGATCAAACCCAGGTTGGCTAAGTGCAAGGCAAGCACTCTAACCACTATACTATCTTTCTGAACCCCAATTGGTGCTTTTTTTTTTTTAGGCAAAATTGGTTCTAAGAAGCTTCCTTGTTTTCTGTACAATTCTACTTAGCAACTCTAATCAAAAGTTAAATTAAAAAAATCATATGTAAGTCTAAATAATTGCATCTATGAGTTGAAAAGTGTAAATGCTTTAAATATTTAATGCTGATATTACTATTTAACAGTAATGATCCCAATGTTCTCTTGTTTTGTTTTTTTTTTTTTTTTGCTTTTTGGGCCACACCTGGTGATGCACAGGGGTTACTCCTGGCTCTGCACTCAGGAGTTACTCCTGGCGGTGCTCAGGGGACCATATGGGATGCTAGGAATCGAACCCGGGTCGGCCGCATGCAAGGCAAATGCCCTACACGCTGTGCTATCTCTCCAGTCCCGTCAATGTTCTCTTGCTTACATTTAGAAAAATAATACTGACCTAGATGTACACCTGGATGAACTTATGTCATTAATCACATAACAAAATTTAATTAAGGTCAGAATATAGGAATTAAGCATTTTAGATACAAAGTTCTTAGTCTCTAAAGTTGAATTCTAGCAAGTTTAACTATTTGCCATCCTTTGTGTTACACAATTTCATGATTTATTTTCTAAAAATCTGCAGGAAAGGGGTGATAATCTATGAATTAACAAGGGAATGTTTGAATATAATTATCAAATGTCAATCATCACGATTCAGTGATATTCAGACTTTTGAAGCCATTTCATTAAAAAAAAAGAGAGAGAGAATTATACCTTGTCTAAAAACTATTTATGAGACTTAAGGAACTTATACATTCATGACTGAGTGTTCAATAATACATTCCAGAGGAAAGTGTCAAAAATGTCTATAATTAAAAACAGAACAGCAAAAAAAATTGAATGGCTTACTCTCTTGTTGGTGAGTTAGCGAAGGATTCCTTTTTTGAATCAGAAGAGCTTAGGGCTTGCAAAATACAATTATGTTTTTCGGTGGGTAAGGCATCTCTTTCTTGCTCAGAGTGGATTAATTTTAAGGCCTCTATTCTATCTTCTCCCTCCATCTTGTCACCCGGATTTGGCTGTGGTTCTGGACTCTTTAAAAACAGATCATCTTCACTTATGGAGACTGTGAGGTCACTGCTGCTGTCCAAACTTTCCTCCTTCTGCTCTTCCTGCAGTTTTTTAAAGGGCTTCTGGGACTCTGGGTCCCCGTGAGGGAGATAATCTGTAAGAGGGGATATGAATAGATGACAGATCACTAAATTCAGGATGAAGCAGTGTGACATTCTGGCTCTCAGAAAATTTCTCATCCAAAAAAAAAAAAAAGAAACACCCCAAAAACCACATAGAAAAAAATCTGTAATTATTGCTTTTGAAAACACTTTTAAAAAATCCTAATAAGCTTTAAATTTAGAGAATGCAACGGAATTGTTGGCAAAGTCACTACCTTGCTCTGTTTTTTCATTTGACTCAGCAGACTAGGGCTCAAACCCAAGCCCTTCCACGTGTGCAGGCATGTGCTCAATCACTGAGCTCAAACTCCCAACCTTGCTATCTTGGTTTAGAAAAACTTAGAAACTACGTTTTGACATATATTCACTACCACTCCAAAAAACAATATGCCAGCAAAAATCAGTGAGCACTCAGCCTGTTCCCTACCTGAGAAACCTCCCCAAGCAGAATGCTTCACTTGAGAACACTTATTTTCAGAGGCGTAGTATTCTGGGACTGATAGCAGGGAGACTGGTGGTCTAGCTCTTTCTTCCTTGATTTCAATATGCTCCCGCGTCAGTATTTCTCGGCACGATTCCTCTGATTTACTGGAACTGTCACACTTTAAATCAGTGGTTCTGTTCTCTGGACTTAATCTTTCCCGTAACAGGAAATGGAATTCAGGAGATTTTTTGCCTTCAGATAAATTATTCTTGCCATGACGCGTGTTGCTTCCTATCACCAAGCCATGAGTCTGTTCCTTCTCAGACAATACACTGACTGTGACTGGCGTCTTCTCACCAATCTGAAGAGATGTCTTTCCATCTATTTTGTCAGACTTATTTAAGCACTGCATGTCACTATGAGTTTGTACTACATAGCTGTCTGTCACATTACTGCTTGGGGCTGTCTGTCGATGTGACTGTGGGTCAGGAATTGAAAAGTTCTTTGTGGGTTGGGAAGATTTCTTCTGTGTACTAAAATCTCCAATGCTTGAGATGGCTGACATTTGGCGGCCCATAAAGATTGTTGCTGGTTGATACAGTCCTCTTGACATGGCTGACCCTGAGTTAATTCCCTCCTGCACTGCAATCTGAAGCAGCAAAAGAAATGTTAGACATACTGTAAATGAACATTAGTTTGTTTTCAGAAATGAATAAAAATAAACATAACAGTTAAAAGTAATATCTACCATATTTTATAAAATGTATATAGTTTCCAAATAAATGAGCACATATCAGTACAGGCCATACTATCTAATTTTAATAACACTGTTGTAATAGAGCAAATGCTATCAAGGAACTATGGAATTTATATTTTTTGAAAGAGAGTAACATGTCTGAAGGTATCTATTTTTACTGAACTGAATAATCAAACATGGCTAAAATGGTAAATTTAATGTTAAACACAACTTTGGGTAGTTTAACATAAAATATATGCCTAAGATTCAACTATCAATAATATTGTAAATCACAGTTATTCAGCACTGCACTGCACTGTCCTCCCGTTGTTCATCAATTTGCTCGAGTGGGCCCAGTAACGTCTCCATTTTTATTGAGACTTGTTGTTACTGTGTTTGGCATATTGAACACATCACGGGTAGCTTGCCAGGCTTTGCCGTGCGGGCACGATATTCTCAGTAGCTTGCCAGGCTCTCCGAGAGGGGCAGAGGAATCGAACCTGGCTCGGTCAGGCTGGCTGTGTGCAAGGCAAACGCCCTACCACTGTGCTATCACTCCAGCCCCACAGATATTTAATTAAAAATCTTTTTAAAATAAGAAATCACACTTTGTATTTCATGGCGATTCAATAATTTTTAAAAAACTTTAAAAAAGAATGTCTATGCTAACCATTAACTTCCATTTAACAACGTTGTGTATGTGCTAGCAGGGAAGGTAAGGCAAGACCAAGACCAAAAAGGGTTTCTATACTGTAAAGAAAGCGAAGTTATCTGTATGTGCCAGTGACACCATTTTGTGTAAAGAAAAACCTAAGGAGCCCATAAGAAATTATTATTAGGAAGAATGTCTGACCCCACTCCAGGCCGTCTTAACTGGGGCACCTCGGAGGGGGGTGGGTTAAGTTTCCCTCCCCACCCCAAATAACTCCAGCAGTTGAAAGCCTCCAGAACTCAACTGCTGCCATGCTCAGTGTCACTCTCCACATGCTTGGACGAGCCTCTTTTAAGAGGGAACCAGCAGAAAAAACCCAGGTAAGTGGGCCCCATGACTGAAATCTCCAAGCCTGCTAGGATCAGATAGGGAATTGATCCCCCCCCCCCAGCCCCCCAGTTTTCCAGTAGCTTGGCAGTCACACCCACAAACTGCCCCTGGCGCCACGTAATCTCATCAACAGCCAAGACTCAGAGATTATAAACTTAAGCTCCCAGAAGAGAGCACCACAGAATTTCCTGGTGCTCATGGCCGAGAGTAGCTCACTTACATACCAAAAGTAGCACACATCTGTTTGGTTTTAACATATTTGCTTGTATTCTCTTATATACAGGCTTAAATGGCTCCAGGATGAAATACAACAACCTTCACACACTTCCTTCTTATTGTGGTGGGAAGGTGCTTGGTGGTGGGATTGGTGTTTGAATATTATCTGTAATGAATTACTGTGAACTGCACTGTAGCACTGTCCTCCCATTGTTCATCGATCTGATCAAGTGGGAGCCAGTAACACCTCATTGTGAGACTTGTTGTTACTATTTTTGGCATATTGAATATGTCATGTGTAGCTTGCCAGACTTTGCTGTGCAGGCGGGATATTCTCGGTAGCTTGCTGGCTCTCCGAGAGGTACAGAAGAATCGAGCCTAGGTTGGCCACATGCAAGGCAAACGCCCTACCCGCTGTACTATTGCTCCAGCCCACTGTGAACTACTCTTATGAAAATAAAAAATATAAAAATTGCAAAAAAAAGACATTATTATTAGAGTTAATAAATTCAGCAAGGGTCCAAGATTCAAGATAGACATACAAATAGAAAACCATATTTCTAATAGTAATAAACAAGTTGAAATTGAAATCAGGAAAAAATTCCATTTACCGTAACACAAAAAGAAAACACTTAATAATTTTGACAAATAAGTTTAATATTTGTGTAGTGAAAACTGCATAAGAACACAAATCTATTAATACATTTAAGATGGAAATAAATGGAAGAACATTCTGTGTTCAAGGAATATAAGGTTAAATATTTAAAAACAGTACCAAACTGAGTACAGATATAACGCAATATCTACTAAAATCCCAGCTGGAATTATTTCAAAAATTGGCAAGTTGATACTAAAATTTATATTGAAATACAATGGGTCCCAAATAGTCAAAATCATCTTCCAAAGAAGAGCAAAACTGGAGGACTTAAAACACCCCAGTTCACAACTGGAGTGATTTTAGACATCACTATTAAAAGACATACAGATTAAAGAATTGAGAATACAGAAACATGGGCTTTTATTTCTGGGAGAGAGAGAAAGAGAAAAGAGGAACAAGCGAGAGAAAGCGAGAGCATGAGAGAGAGACTCAGAGAGAGGAGGGGGGAGGAGGAGGAGGAGGAGGAGGAAAAATGAAAAAGAAAAATACAACTATCCACAATCAATTATTTCTGAAAGTTTTAGATTCAAGGCTAGAAGGAACTGTAATTGTTTATGTCCCTTCACCCCTGTAGAACACGTGAATCTTCTGGAATTTCCCTCAGGGTATAAATTACAAGGGAATTTTTCTTCAAAATTGATTATAAAGGAAGATATGTTAGGAAGTGGCAAAAAATAGCACGGGGCCTTCCATGCAGTTTTTACCCATACTGAATCAATTATACTTTTGATTTTTCTACCTGGCCTTAGGTTACCTGTAGGCATTTTAGCTGTTCCCAAGTTGTGCTGTACATATGCATCAATTAGTCTCTCTACTGTAGGAAAACAAATTATTCTCTGATAGATAAGAAGTTGATTGTCATTGTTGTTTAATAAGCTTTTGGGATAAATGGCAACTTTGAAGTTTCTTAGTTGTTTTAAGTAACAAGAAACTAGACTACACTGTAACTTTATCAACCGCATATTATTCTGTTCTACAGAGGTACCATCATTTATTGAACATTTTTTATTTTTCTGTTTGGGTCACACCCAGCAATGCTCAGGGATTACTCCTGGCTCTGAGCTCAGGAATTACTCCTGGCAGTGCGTGGGAGACCATATGGGATGCTGGGGATTGAACCCAGGTCGGCTATGTGCGGCCGTGTGCAAGGTAAATGCCATACTGGCTGTACTAACGCTCCAGCCCCATTACTGAACATTTTAACTTTGAAAGACTTTAGTTTGTTTCCCACCATGTATTACTCCAAGCCATGCTGCAGTGGTTATTGAGTGCATGCATCTAAATACATAAAAATATACTGGGGCATCTTTCTAGAACTGAAATTCTGAATTAAAATTGTCTTATAACATATTGCCATTTTATCGTCTGAAGAACTTTAGTGTCATTATTAAGAATTCCCCATTGTACCACATGATTTAAATAGCAAAATTATATTAACAACATTCTGACTCATCACAGTAGTTATGATAAAAGTTTTCCCTTAACTGTGTGGAATACACTCCAAGAATTCCAATAAATGTCCCAAACTTGGCACAGAACTGCTCATTTTCATGTTTCCTGTTCACTATGGGAATAATGTTAAGATCTTCGTGAACCAATATAATGAAGATCAATTATTGTCACTGCATAGGGTATAAAGCAGTCTTTTTTTTCCAGTACAGACATACCTATGACACCTATGATAAAAGTTTAGCTTACATATGAAGCATGGTAAGAGATCACCAATAAACAAAAGAATGAAAAATTAACACATTACACTATGTTAAAAGTTATAGGAAAAATTATATACTATCATATTATACTATACTAAAAGTTATTATATTATACTCAAAATATCTTATTGTAAACAATATATTCATATTATGGTTAGGATTCTTGTTCTGTGGGTCTTCAGTTGTGCGTAGGTCTCGACCGGAGCTGCCGCGCGGGTCCGGAAAGCGTCCTGGAGTGTGGCAACGGCTGGGTAGTGGAAGTAGTGTCCCATAGAACAAGGTAAGCGGAACTCTCTGAGACCTTGGACTCCAGGCTCAGCGGACCCAGGGACAGAGCTTCTCTGCTTGCTCCCACCACCACAGGTGACAAAGGGATTCTAATCAGGAGCCCCACCCTACCCTGCCCTGTCTGCTTCCATCAACCACCCAGGGATCGAATTGTGCACAGGAGACCCACCCTACCCAGATAAATACCCCACTGGCAGACTTCCACTCTCGACAAGCCATTTCGTCGGTAAAGAAACAAACAGCACCCGGCCCAGACAAGGTCAGACCTGAACACCTGAAGAACCTGCCGTCAGTACTCATCAATACACTGGCTCGGCTCTTCACTCGCTACCTGTCTGAATGCAAGGTTCCGTCCCAATGGAAAACCAGCAGGACCGTACTACTGTTCAAGAAGGGAGACATCCATGACATTGGCAACTATCGCCCCATCTGCCTATTGTCTGTCATCTACAAGTTGTTCACTCGAGTCATCCTGAATAGGATTGGCAAAACACTAGATGAAGGACAACCATGCGAGCAAGCAGGGTTCTGCAAAGGATTCAGCACCATCGACCATATCCACATGATAACCAAGCTCATTGAGGTTTCTCGGGAGTTCAAGATGCTGCTCTGTTTAATGTTCATTGATTTAAAGAAGGCCTTTGATTCTGTTGAGACGGAAGCGGTCATTGAAGCCCTAGCCAATCAGGGCATTCAAGCCCAATACATCAGGATCCTCCAGGAGCTGTATTGCGGATTCACTACCAGGATCTCACCATTCTACAAAGAAGTGATCATTGATGTCAAGAGCGGGGTGCGGCAGGGTGATACCATTTCACCGAAACTCTTCAGTGCCACCCTCGAGAACATCATGCGACGACTGGAATGGGAAGGAATGGGAGTGAAGATAGATGGTCGGCAACTACACCACCTCCGCTTTGCTGATGACATTGTTTTAATAACACCAAACATCAGCCAAGCGGCACAAATGCTGGCTGACTTTGACCGTGAGTGTGGA